TTTGGACCAACTCGAAAATTCGGATTGGTTAGTTCGCTTACTCGATGGAATCGAATACATTGGGCAACCCACTCAAACCCTTATATTTTCAGGTTGGGTCATCGGGTTGCAAGATTTCAATCAACAGATAAGATTATCCAAAACCATAATTAGGGACAAAAAGTAGAGTCACTTTAGCTTGTTGCATTGGAGTGGTTCATTGCAAAAGAATAACGGTTGCAGCATTTTCTACTTGCTTCAAGATAGGTCATAGGAGCAAATGAATGACCTATTTTTAAGTTAAGCAAGGAGTGTGTTTCTTGAATGAAAACATCAATCATATTTGGCCTTGAGGCACAGCAGTTGACTGGACATCTAGGGGTAAAACATTGTTTTGGTGGGCAGGTCGCGAGACTGGTACCAAATTGAGGCGAACTTTGAATTTTCATAATAGAGCGTCTCCTTTAATCCCCTCTAACAGCATGTAATTAATGAATCATCTAACACCAACAATGACATCGACTTAATACCTTCTCGGAACTGAAGATGCATAAGATCTAGAGGATACTATGGATGAAGAGTGAGCCTCTCTCCTCTCTAGGAGTAGAGAAGAGAGCACCTTCAATCGACAAAGCATTTATTTCTTGCTTTTCCTGCTTGGCCATGATGTGTTAAACAGAACCACCATCAAAAAATGTCTTCCCTTCCTGGTTGTCCTGTCCTGTTCAATTCGTTGTTCTTTCATCCAATCAAATATCCTGTGAAAGACTGTTGTTGGGAGGCGAGGGAGTCACTTGTCTGGTTTTACAGTGCACTCACTCTCGTTATGAGAATGAAATGATGCCCTAGCTCGACTTGAGACCAAGACTCCTTACAACTCGGACCACACCAAGTTGATGTAGTAATTAGGGGGTGGTTGAAGATTGACTTTGGGTTATTCAGTGGGTACCAAGATTGGCGGTTCGGTGGGTAGGTTTGGGAGTGGAACTTTCTTTGTTGAGAAGCTGGTTATTGCTGTTGGGTTGTCACAGCTTGAACGTTGTTCCATCTCCCCCTTAACCATGAACATCTACAATCTAAGTATTGACTACATTGTTCACAGATTGAACATAGACGAATGCAGTATCGGCCCTAGATCTAGATCTTGCTCTTTTTCTCTGCAATTTTGAAGTAAACTTAACCCAATGTCGCCCCGAATCCATGTAGGTGCACACACTCTCTTCCTTGAATTCAATAGCTATCAATAAAAGATGGAACATATAGACGATCACAAATGGGGAATCGGAGATGTAGAAAAGCACATGCACAGGCAGAAAGGGTTGGTGCACGAGGTGCGAAAGGGCTGGCACAATGTTGGTTGTTGAACAACCCTTGCAAGTTAGGTTGGGTTGTTCAAGTTACCGGGTTTTTTGAACCCCTAGTTTTAAAGTTTCAATTTGATCTCTATATTTTAGTTAAACTTCACAAATCGTTGCTACCCTTACCAAATTAGCCCCCTTTTGTTTGTTTGTTTTTTTTTTTTTTGTGGCAATTGGTTGTTTTCTTCGTGGCTCATTGTGTTAGTTGATTGTATTAGAATTTAGGGTTGGGTATAATATATAAAGAAATAAGTAGATTTTTGGGTAGTTAAATGCAATTTAGGGACCTAACTTGTGAGATTTAGCCAAACTATAGAGACAAAATTCAAACTAAATCTAATGGACCAAATTGAAACCTTTAAAGCATAGATACCAAAAACTAAGTCCAAATCCCATATAGACTAAATTGTAACTTTTAAAACCATAGGGATCAAATTGAAACTATATACAAACCATAAAGACCAAATTTGTGATTTAACCTCTTGATAACTGTGTTGATGCTGAATTATGAGTACTCGCAAGGTGTTATTAGTCATGTATGTAAAATATGGAATCAAAGAAGAGTTATTTCTCTTTCTTTTTCTTCTTCTGTGGGCCAAGTGCCAAGTGGCTTGTTTTGGAGACTTCTCATGTTACTGGGTCTGAAAACTATATAAAAGTTGATACCATGCTAAGTTTTCCTTTTCAACTTGACAGTATTCGCAATACGGTTGAGACGAATCTCGGGGGTCATCCATTTATGTATGGGCGGCAATATACATCACAGTTGCTGGTGGATCAAGATGTTCCTCGCGTAGACTATACTCCTGGTTACTATAGACGACGGCTGTCTCCTACAATCACACATATCCCTCCTCTGTCACAAGCTGGATCATCTGCACATTATTCACAAAATAGGTTGCCATCACCGTATCGTCCACAGAACAGGTTGCCATCCCCTCATCGCCCTTACTATTCAGCTGAGATTTCACAAATGAACAGGTTGCCATTGCCATCCCCTCATCTGTCTCAGGATCGAGGCAGGGGATATGTTGATGTCAGTTTGCCACAAGGCGGACCAGGTTCTGGTAAAGTTAGCTACGGCGATGCAAATTTGTCAATCTCTTCTTATTATTCGTCAGCTGCTGCAAGGCTAAGCTATCGGTAAATAGCAACTTTGGAGCTTGAATATGGTTTTAACTGCTTTCACTGTCGGTCTCTGATGAAGCCATATTTTTGCATATTGTTGGTATTAATTGCATGTAATAAAAAAAAACTTTAAATTGATTTTATGCTAGAATTTGTTTGATTAGTGTAATTGGGTAAAACTAAGACTTTAAGATTTGAATTCTGTGTGATGTGCGGTTATTTAGCTCCCTGCCATTTTGGGAAAATTATTTCACTGCGGGAGAGTTAATCTTTTGACAAAATGGAGGCCACGACTGCAGCCAGCAATTTTACTATTTAATTATCTTAAAACCAAATCAATTTAATTGTTTTTTTTTTCATATTTGAATAGCTGACATGGTTTCTATTTTAAATCTTCTAAAAATAATTAGTTAAAACTATTCTCAATTTTATAAAAATAGAATAACAACGATTTCATTTTAAATTTTATATTTTTAAAAATTTTATTTGTTTTCTCACCAATTTTTTTTTATATGTTTTTCACTTTTCTTCCTAATAAATCTGAATAGGAATCTTGGTTAAATTTTGAAATAAAAAATACGTTAGCAACTACTTCTGGTTTGAAAATTTGGCTTGGATTTGGAAAATGTTTTTAAAAAGTTGATACCAAACAAATGAATATATTTGTGGGAGTATGCTATTTAATATTCAAAGTATGTCCCACATTTTCACAATGATATGGGGCAAATTGACCAATTTCATTATATTAAAAAAAATATATCAATAAAATGTCAGTAATATATAAACAATATTAATATTAATTATTTTAAATTTATTTAGAAATAGAAAAATGTTTATTTGTTAATTTAAATATATTTTTTGATTTTTTAATTTTTCTCACTTTTATAGAAATATCCATTGATTTCGATAGGTTTATAATATTTTCACGAAATTGAAATATGACATTTTGTGTGGAAGTAATAGTTGCAAGCTTAATTTTTGAAAACAAAAAATGAAAAATAATTTTGATATCAATATTTTAAAGTGTAAGGGCGATCGAGTATTAGTTGCAAGCTTAATTTTCGAAAACATAAAATAAAAAAATAATTTTGATATCAATTTTTTTTGTCTAAGGGTGATTGATGTTGAAAATCCATGGACGTGTGTAATAATCCCTAGGGGTGAGCATCGATTGGTCAAGGTCGACCAACATTTATTATAGCTTAGTTGAGTTGGGTGGATCGTGCAATAAACCTCTCTCGACCTTCTCTTTCTCATACGTCTTTATGAAAGCCTCTCGCCTTTCGAGATCTGGTCCATCATCAACTCAGTCAGATCTTTTTATTTTCTTCTGCATTTCGTGCCTGCTACTCTGCGGAATTCGACCTTTTATCAGCAGGTAGAGTAGTAAGATTAGAGGCACAATGAAATTAGAAGACTTGGCCATTTTTTTCAAAATTCGATTGCTGTCTCTGAAGTCCTTCTTGATCGATGGTCCCCATCAGCATTAGTGCCAATTAGCCGCTGCTTATTTTGGAAGGCGAGGTATTCATGTGTGATCGCAGATTCCACGGTCGTAGCTATCGTTCTAGCTCGACATTAGGAGCACGGGGCTCGAGATATCTAAAGGAGGTACTGACCCCTCCCCCGACGCCGAAAACCGACCTAGTCGGTTGCGGTCGGTTGGAGAAATTTCTTTCCTCTCTCTGTACAAACCAACCATTCAACCGACTGTTCGGTCGGTTGGGTTGGTCAGTTTTTGGCTGATACTAAACTCGAAACAAGGACTTCTTCAAATGGGTGGTGGTGTGACTAAATGCAGGAATGATTTGAGGAGGGAAGATGGAGAAGAAAGGGAAGAGAAGAACTGGAGGAAGAAAGAGTAGAAAAGTGGTGAGAGAGTGGAAAAGAGAAGAGGATAGTGAGAGGAAAGAAATTGAAATTGAAAAATTGTTAAGAAATGGCTCCTAGAAAGCCACGTCGGTCGACAAGAAAGGGATAAGAGAAAATAATAAATAAATAAATATAAATTCTGATTCACATGAATTATGTGAAATGATGAAGCAGACGTGACTATATATTAACCACTTTTTTTTTTATATATTAACCACTTTTTTTTTTATTCTTCTCTCTTTTCAATTCATTCCTCCCTCTCTTTTTTCCATCTCTTTTCTTTTTCTCCCACTTTCCTTCTCTCGTTTCGTCACTTTACTCCTACCATCCTTTTTTCTATCCATCTTCTTGTAGCTCTCCTCTCTCCCGTGGAATACTGGAATAAAACTTCGGATTTTTTTCCTTATACAAGTCGATCGGTTGGTCTGTTTCTTTAATATTGGAACAGTCGACCGATGGACTAATCGATTTTTCACAGTGAAAAACTGACACCGACCGATTCATCTCATAAACCAACCAACCAACGTTAGTTCGGTCCGTTTTAGTCGGTCGGATCGGTTTTTCGGTTTGCTTTGCTCACCCCTAACAATCCCGTAACTCAATGGTTAATTATGCAATTATGTATTTTTCTTTAAATATATAATTAATGAAGTAAATTTAGTGTATGGTTAAAACTTTTTTACTTTATCAAACAAATCAGAGTTGCAAATTTCTACTCTGGCATTTGTTTTGTGATTATACCAAAAATTAATATCTAAATCTATTAAATAATAATTAAACCTAGAGACATGATTAATAGTCCAGAAAAAGAAAAAGAAATCCAAAAATTAGATGATTAAAAGAAATCGTTCTACAAGAATATGGGTTTTGTCACATTTCCTGTTATATTTTAATTCATTAGATTAATATATTAAGGTCTCGTTTGATAATATTTTGTTTTTCGTTTTTCATCTTTTGGTTTTAAAAATTAATGTCAGAAAACATTGCTTTCACCTCTATTTGTTTTGTTTTATGGTTTCTATAAACATTTTCGAAATCAATGTCAAATTTTGAAAAAAAAAATAGTGAAGAATGGGTTGCACTTACAAATCTCATTGGCTTCTGTCAGTGTCAACCATTGTGATGATTCTTGGCTCTTGGGTTTCGAAGCTTTGATAACAACAGGAGAATTATTTCCACCCCTCTCGCTAAATCTATTTAGGGACAAAGATCAAACCAACTACGTCACGACGCCATTAATACCCACGACAGATTACAGCATCGGTTGCCATACACGTCCATCTCTCCAGAATGCTGCGTTTCCACCACGCTCGCTCTTTATATCAGAATTTTGAGAGGTGTTATCTTTTGTTGTAACCTACCTTTCAATACCAACAATCTTTTTAATCTTTTTAAGTGTGCATGGTTTATGATAATTGACATATATCTCCAATTAAGAGGGTGTGAGTTCGATTCTCCACCCGTTGTATTAAAAAGAAAAAAAAAAGTTAATGGTTGGAATTTTCATTAATATGGGGCCACACATGTATTAATTTAATGTGTTTTTGAAATGTATAGATACCATGAAATAATTTCAAATTTGATGGCCTGCCAAATTGGAAATATATATCAAAACGTTGTAACCGACCCTTGCTTTCTGGTCGGTTACATAAGGGTTATGGTCCCCAAGTCATATCATTTTCACGTTAGTTTCTCTCATCCCTTCACATAGAGAATCTTCTTCCTGTTCTACGAATATACAAAAGTAAAACCAGAGGAAAACGTGATTCATCTAGACTTGGAAGATCAAACCTGTCGGCATTCAATTTTTTCCCAACAAGTGGTATCAGAGCCTTCCCATTCTTAATTCTCGAGAATAATGTCGAAATTGGTTTCAAATTAAGGCTGTTTTTGATCTTCCATCATGAAAATTTTCTCTGTTTTAAAATATTCGGTTCCTATCTTTGTTTTTGGTATCTTCTGTGTTTAAATTTGATGCCAATTTGTGTTCAATTACTTGAGCAATCTGGATGTGAAATCGAAATTACTGTACTTACAATTGTTGTCGAATTGATTTACTAATTATGCATTTTTGTCATTTCTGGGTTGGATCAAGTTAATTGTGAATTTTCGTAGTTTGCAATTTCTTACTGCCACTCTTCCACTACCACCGGTGCGTGGGTAACTGCCTATATATATTTGGTTTCATTTGTGTTAAAAAAAAAAGAAAAAAAAAGAAAAAAAAAGGGGCAATTTGGATTATTTGCTTCTCATGGGTTATCATTTTTGATTTACAGCTCAATTGCGTCCCAGATCCAACTTTTGTTGTTTCTGTTGCAATTCATTTATTATGTTTTATTGTGAATTTAGATATTAATATAGTGAATTATTGGTAATTCATATTTATAGTGCATTTGGAAATATATTATTGAGTTATGAAATGTTGTGGGGCATGCTTATCTTGTTTCTTCAATATATAATTTTTATTTAGAACATAAATTCAAATTTTGGTGAAATAATTTTATGGTTAATAAAGATTGTGTTAAACATATGACTTGAATTGATATTCGAGGTCGCCAACGTGACCTCTCTGGTTGAGATTATTCATGAATATGTTTAATGTTTGAGTGTTTGTATATTTCTGCGAATATTAGTCGGCTCAAAGGAAGGTTGATATTAGCGTGAATTACAAACATTTTTGTGGTGATAAATGTGTGACAATTATTAGGTTTTTGGGCATGTGAATAATAAATCGATCCAAAGATAGATTTGTTATTTGTCGTGCATTTATTGTCAATATTTGATCACTACACCAAGATTATCACTTACAATCAATATTATTGTCCAGAGACTTGATGTTGATGTTGTATTAGGTATCTTGTGAAGGGATTAACCATTATTTGAATTTTATGATTATTATGACTCATTATTGTTAAATATTTAACAATTACTTATGTGAGCATTATTGTATATATTTAACTTTGTTTTCTTATCGCCTGATATTGCTACAATTTATGATATTCTCAACAATATTCCTTTTCTTAATGGTTCCAACTTCAAAGATTGGAAAGAACATATAGTTGCATATTTATGCTGCATGGATCTGGACCTTGCATTTAGGATAGAGCAACCCCCTCCTCATTCAGCTGAAAGTTCTCTTAATGATAGGAGTCTCTTTGAGAAGTGGGATTGCTCAAACCGCTCAAGTCTATTGATCATAAAGCGCGGTCTTCCTGATGCGTTTAGGGGTGCGTTATTCGAAGGAATAACAAATGTCAAAGATTTCCTAGCTGAAATAGAAAAATATTTTGCTAAAAA